GCACAGACCATAACATTAGCAAACAAATAAATGGGACCTCATTAAACTGAAAAGTTTCTGTAAGGCAGAGGACACTGTCAACAGAACAAAACAGCAGCCTACAGAATGAGAAAAGATTCTCACCAACCCCACATCTGGCAGGTCTGATCTCCAAAATATATAAAGAACTCAAGAAACTAGACATCAGAAAACCAAATAATCCAATTTAAAAATAGGGAACAGATCTGGAAAGATAGCTCAGCCATTAAAGGTTAGGCCCACAACCAAAAATGTGATACAGACCTAAAGAGAGACTTGTAGGCAGAGGCTGCTCGTTCATTTTCCAGCTGTCCAGACCCGAAATAATCACATTGAAACTATATTAATTGCAACACTGCTTGGCCAATGTTCATGAACACTGATGCAAAAATAGAAAAAAAAACCTGGCAAATCCAATCCAAGAACACATCAGAACCATCATCCAACATGATCAAGTCAGCTTCATTCCAGAGATGCAGTAATGGTTCAACATATGAAAATGTGTCAATGTTATCCACTATATAAATAAACTGAAAAATAAAAACCACATGATCATCTCATTAGATGCTGAAAAGGGTTTTGACAAAATACAACATCCCTTTATGATAAAGGTCTTGGAGAGAGCAGGGATACAAGGAACATGCCTAAATATAATAAAGGCGATATACAGCAAGCCAACAGCCAACATCAAACTAAATAGAGAGAAACTCCCAGTGACCCCACTGAAATCAGGAACAAGACAAGGTTGTCCACTCTCTCCATATCTATTCAATATAGTTCTTGAGGTCCTATCTAGAGCAATAAGACACCAAAAGGAGATCAAGGGGGTACAAATTGTAAAAAAAGTCAAACTCTGATTGCTGATGATGTGATAGTTTACATAAGCGATCCCAAAAATTCTACCAAGGAACTTCAACAACTCATAAACACTTTCAGCAATGTAGCAGGATACAAGATTAACTCAAAAAAATCAGTAGCCCTCCTATATACAGATAATAAAAGGACTGGGGAAGAAATCAGAGAAACAACACCCTTCACAATAGCCACAAATAGCATAAAATATCTCAGAGTAACTCTAACCAAACAAGTAAATACTTGTATGACAAGAACTTTAAATCTTTGAAGAAAGAAATTGAAGAAGATAACAGAAAGTCGAAAGATCTCTGTTGACTGAGTTTTTTGTCCTGCCCAGTTCCCGCAGTTGTTAAGTCCCAAAGAAATCACACAGAGGTCTACATTAGTTATAAACTGATTGGTCCATTAGCTCAGGCTTCTTATTAACTCTTATAACTGATATTAGTCCATTATTCTTGTCTATGTTAGCCCCATGGCTTGGTACATTTTCTGGTGAGGCAGTCACATCTTGCTTCTTCTGTGATTGGGTCACGACTGCAGACTAGGACTTCCTTCTTCCCAGAATTCTCCTGTTCTCATTGACCCACCTCTACTTCCTGTCTGGTTGCCCTGCCTATTCTTCCTGCCTGGCTACTGGCCAATCAGTGTTTTATTAAAATACAGTTGACAGGGTACAAAACATTGTCCCAGCTCTTGGGTAGGCAGAATTATCATAGTAAAAATGGCAATCTTACCAAAAACCATTTACAGATTCAATGCAATGCCCATCAAAATCCCAGGAAAATTCTTCGCAGACCTCAAAAAAAAACGGCACTTAACTTTATATGGAAAAGCAAAGAACCCAGGATAGCCAAAACAATCCTGTACAATAAAAGAACTTCTGGAGGCATCACAATCCCTGACTTCAAACTCTACTACAGAGCTAAAGTACTGAAAACAGCCTGATATTGGCATAAGAACTGGCAGGAGGACCAATGGAACCAAATAGAAGACCCCAATATTAATTCACATACCTTCGAACACCTGATTTTTGACAAGGAAGCAAAAAATATCAAATGGAAAAAAGAAAGCATATTTAACAAGTGGTGCTGGCATAACTGGATATCAATATGTAGAAGAATGAAAATAGATCCATATCTATCACCATGCACAAACCAAATAGATCAAAGACCTCAACATAAATCCAGTCACACTGAATCTTGTAGAAGAGAAAGTAGGAAGTACACTTGAACACATTGGCACAGGAGACCACTTCCTAAATATGACCCTAGCAGCACAGACACTGAGAGAAACAATTAATAAATGGGACCTCCTGAAACTGAAAAGCTTCTGTAAAGCAAAGGACATGGTCAACAAGACAAAATGACAGACTACAGAATGGGAAAAGATCTTTACTAACCTCACATCAGACAGAGGTCTGATCTCCAAAATATACAAAGAACTTAAGAAATTTGTCATCAAAAGAACAAATAATCCAATTTTAAAAAAAATGGAGTACAGACCTAAACAGAAAACTCTCAAAAGAAGAATCTAAAATGGCTGAAAGACACTTAAGGAGAAATGTTCAACATCCTTACTCATCAGAAAAATGCAAATCAAAACAACTCTGAGATTCCATCTTACACTTGTAAGAATGTCCAAGATCAAAAACACTGATGACAACTTATGCTAGAGAGGTTGTGGGGAAAAGGGAACACTTCTGAATTTCTGGTGGGAATGCAAGCTAGTACAACCCCTTTGGATGTCAGTGTGGCAATTTCTCAGAAAAATTAGAAAACAACCTTCCTCAAGACCCAGTAATACCACTTTTGGGTATATATCCAAAGGATGCTCAATCATGCCACAAGGACATGTGCTCAACTATGTTCATAGCAGCTTCGCTTGTCATAGCCAGAACCTGGAAACAACCTAAATGCCCCTTGACCGAAGAATTGATAAGGAAAATGTGGTACATATACACAATGGAGTACTGCACAGCAGAAAAAAAATAACAACAGCTTGAATTTTGCAGGCAAATGGATGGAGCTAGAAAACATTATTTTGAGTAAGGCAACTCAGACGCAGAAAGACAATTATTACATGTGCTCACTCATAGGTGGTTTTTAAATATAAAGCAAAGAAAGCCAGCCTATAAACCACAATCCCAGAAAACTTAGACAACAATGCAGACACTAAGAGAGACTTACATAGATCTAATCTACATGGGAAGTAGAAAAAGACAAGATCTCCTTAGTAAATTGGGAGCATGGGGACCTTGAGGGAGGTCTGAAGGGGGAAGGGGAGAGGCAATGAGGGAAGCAGAGAAAAATGTAGAACTCAGTAAATATCAATAAAAAATACTCTAGAACTAAAAAAAAAAAGAAACTATATTAATTGCAACACTGCTTGGCCAATGACTCTAGCATATTCCTAGCTAGCTCCTACATCTTAAATTATCTCATTTGTATTAATCTGTGTATTGCCATGCAGTTGCAGCCTAGGTAAGATTCCAGCGTCTGTGTCCTGCTGCAGCTACATGACTTCTCCCTCCCTCCACCTAATCTTTCTTCCTCTATCTGTTTGGAATTCCTACTTTGTCCTATTCTGCATTGCAATAGGCCCAAAGCAGCTTCTTTATTAACCAATGGTATTCACAGCATACAGAGGGGAATCCTACATTAGATAATTTTCGATAGAAGAATCTCAAATGGCAGAGAAACACCTAAAGAAATGTTCAACACCCTTAGTCATCAAGGAAATGCAAATCAAAACAACTCTGAGATTCTATTTTACACCTGTAAGAATGGCCAAGATCAAGAACACTGATGGCAGCTTATGCTAGAGAGAATGTGGAGCAAGGGGAATACTCCTCCATTGCTGGTGGGAGTGCAACCTGGTACAACTGCTTTGGAAATCAGTATAGCTGTTTCTCAGAAAACTGGAAATCAGTCTGCCTCAAGGCCCAATTATACCACTCTTGGGCACATTCCCAAAGGGTGCTCAATCGTATCACCAGGTATTTTTATGTCTTTGGGAGACTATCCAAACTGCCCATTTCCAATTCTCTTGATTGTGAGGTGTTGGATCTCTCCACTGTTCAGCCAATTCACCTCATCTAGGTCGTGGGTGCTCCATTCTGCTCTTGCCTTGCTTCACTGGGCCATGGAAAGTGATCTTTTTATTTAAAAAAAAATGAGATAGATTTCAAATGGGAGTTAGAGGGTGCTTGTAGAGACCCCTTCCAGGAAATGGTTGGATGCCTTAAGTGGCTTTCGTCACCTCCCTGGCATCAGCTGAGCAGGAGTGGGGTTTCACATAGGCATTTTGAGTGACTGCTTTTGCAGACACTCCAAGGTCACAGTGGGGCAGAGAAAGTGTAGTTTCACCTAAAACAAATGTCACACACTCTAGCCTTGATTAAGAACAAGCAGTAACCTGGAAACCAGGTCCACACCCTAAGCAAACATACCAGTGAAAGACTCCCCTGGGGCGTCTTCCCTCGGGAGAGGCCCCTGCGCCCCAAAGATCAGTCGAAAACACGCAGCCGGATGCAAACTGCAAGAGGTTTATTGGAGATACACAGGCACCTGTGGGCGGCAAAGTCTCTCGGAGGATTTGCGCGCCTGCAGGTTGGGGATGAGGGGTTTTTATAGGGGAGCAAAAGCACGGGTACAGAAGCAGAAAAGCTTTCATTTCATTGGTCAGTTCAAATAAGGCTAAGCTGAGTGGCACATTCCTGACCTTTTACCTAAATACCAAGGAGGGGGTTGTCCAGACCCACCTGGATACCAAAGAGGGGGTTGTCCTACCTGTTTTTCTTATCTCTTCCTGCCTTCCTAGCTTGGCTGGCGACTAGATGTCTGATCGCACAGCCCCTAACTCGTGACGAGCCTCGCTTTCTACGTGACTCAGGCCTCGCAATCTTCTCTTTCTTTGTTCCTATGACCAATCCATAAATCTCCTGTCTCACAGCCAGATAAGGCTGTCTTTGCTCAGGTGTCTTTGCTCAGCATCCCGGCCTTTAATGAAGCTTGCTATCTGAAAACCTTTGCAGAGCGTTATAACTGTGGTTAAAGTTAAAACCACAGTTTTAACTGTGACCCCAATGAAGTTGGGGTCCTTCATTCCCCCATTTTTTTTCTAGTGCCTAGTTCTAATCATAGAACTAGATTTCAGTATCTTCTTGACCTTAAAGCATTGTATTGGGGGTGTAACATCAAAATCTGAACAGCACTTGTTCTTTTTCTAATAAAGGTAACATCAGTAGCAGAAGCAAAATTAGGAGTGGTCCCATAAGGGAGGATATCAAAGTAGTCATCCAGGGAGATCTATTTGCATAATCCTCCATCCTTTAAGAATAACAAATCTAAACCCCTTCTGTAAGACCATTTTGAGAGGGAAGTCAATGACTCTTCGAGTTTGGAACCAGATTGTTCTAAAGCCCTCAAATCTTAATACATTGAAGTACTGAGGGGCCTGTATTAGGGCAGCAGTACCTGCCCCAACATCGGCAGCTTCTCTAAGGCCCAGGATTACTGCTAGTGTCAGAGAAATGGGTTCTCTATCAAATTCATACCAGTTGTGCAAACACACAGTAATCTTTGGTATCATCAAAAATTAACATTGACATGCAAGGCATCAAACCTGTACTATAAACCCATCATCTATCTAAACCAGGAACCAAGTACCAGGTGTCAGGAGTCTTAGGGCCCTTAGAGTCTCATTACATAACCTCAGTAAGAGTCCGTCTATGATTAATCCCCTAAACCCAAGTCTTTTGACTGGTAGCATTGTCAAAAGCCTCGGATACTGTAGTTTGGGTAGTTCAGGAGCTCGCTTCATGTGGGTGGTGTGGATCCAGGCAGAGACGCGTACTTCTTTCAGTGGTTTTCAGATCTGGTGTCTCTCCATTTCAAGGGCCTTTAGACGGGGAAAATAAAGGTCTAGAAAGAATAACATCAGGATTATACATTTTATCCGACCCAGTGAGCAGTGGTGGTTCTCTACATAGGATCTCATAAGGGATGAGTTTAAATCGCCCTGGGGTATTCCAAACCTGGAACAGGGCAAAAGGGAAGGAGGGCTGTCCAGTCATTTCCGCAGGTCTCTTTTAGAATTCTATTTTTTTCTTTCTACCTGTCCTGACTCTGGGGTTGGTAAGCATAATGTAATTTCCAATAGATCCCCAATTGGGCGGCCAGTCCCTGACTTACCTGGGCAACAAATGCAGGTCCATTATCAGATCCAATTACCTTGGGTATCCCAAACCTTGGGAAGATTTCTTCTTTGATCTTCTTAGCCACCGCATTGGCTGTCTCAGTCCTGGTAGGAAAAGCTTCTACCCAGCCTGAAAAGGTATCTATAAAAACTAATAAGTACTTGTTGCCATATCTGGCTGGCTTAATTTCTGCAAAATATACTTTCCAATAGGCTCCAGGCCAATCGCCCCTGAGCCTCTTCCCAGGAGCATATATGGAGTGTCCTGCATTAATCATAGCACAGTCCTTGCAGTTTTTGACTACTTCTTCTGCCAAGACAGAGAGTCTGTCGTCTGATTTTCTTTCAGCCACAGCATCTCAAGCTTTTTGGTGTCTTGGACAAGTATATGTCTTTTCCTGCAGATGTTAACAGTCCTCTTCGTCTGTATATTGCTCCATGAATATGAGCAGTGGCAAAAGCATACCTGCTGCCAGTGTAGATGCTGAGACTTCTCCCTCTGTCATTCGTATCCAAGCAGCAAGTCCGGCTTTTTGTGCCAACGTCCTTTAGGGAGGCTATGCCCAGGCCATTTGCTTCCCATCCACCACTGCTGTCCCCGCCTTCCGCTTACCTTCGATCATGAAACAGCTGCCATCCGTACACCAGCTCGGACTTTCAGGCCACGGCTGATCCTTCAGATCATTTCTGGTGCCAGCTTCTCAGCGCATTGATGAGTAGACGAGATGTCATCAGTCTCAGGCAGTAGGGTAGCGGGATGGAGGACAGCAGGGGGAGCGAAGGTCACTGGTTCAGTCAACAAAAGGCTTTAATCATCTCCAGCCTGGTTTGAGTAAACCCAGTTGGGCCTTCAGCTTTGTTAGCAAGTCTCTTTCTAATAGAGATAGGACGCTCGGGGATAGCCAGGAAGGAATGAGTCACTTGTCCTCTCCCCAAATCTACAGTTCGTGAGGTGGTCCACAGATATTGTTTCTGTCCAGTTGCTCCAATTACTATAGTCTTTCTATTCTTTAGCTTTCCCAATGGTTGTCATAGCACAGAGTGCTCAGCCCCTATGTTCATTAGAAAATCCATAAGGGTCCCCTCCATAGTCAGGGTTACCCTAGGCGCAGGGGAGGGTGTCTGAGCCCAGTCCCCTCCAATCATCTTCTTCTAGGGCCAGTACCTTAGAGTCCCTTCCTTTCTTCTTTGCAATAAGCACATCGTCCTTTGTCCAAGGGGTGCCTGTCCATGTTCATCTTTGATCTTCTGTTGCCCAGGTTCCCTATCTGTCTAGTTCCTATCTTTCCTTTCTCTCCTACCACTGCGGCCAAAATTCCCTTTTGTCTATGATCCCTCCAGTCCTCTTTCTTCTGCCTCCATCTCTCTCCCTCTTTCTCTCTCTTTCTCAGTTTTTCGCTTATGAAACATTTTCTCTGCCTCCTTAATTAAATCCTGTAACTCTTTTTAACCATAATATCTGATGCTGACTGTCCTATAAAGGCCATAGGTACCATTGACCTCCTTCTGCCAAGACAACCTCTGAGGGTCAATGGGGAGTATAATGCCTGTAAGCCTCCTTTAAATGCTCAAGAAACATAGATGGCAGAGCCCTGCGGTGATGGACTGTCAGCTGCTCCCCACCTGCTTTAAGTTATACATGGGGACCTAGATAAGGCCCATCTGTTTATATATTTTTTTAACCAAAATTTTTCCTTGCTTTTAGACAACATAGCAAAAATTTCTCTTGCTTTTAGACAACATAAAAACTCTTACCAAAGTCTTTCTTGTGGTTTTTCTCAGTGGGGATATATGGCTATGTTTTAAACTAGAACAGCATACAAGAACAGCATATAAAATCCTATACCAGTGTGAAACATTTGAGATCAGCGATAGGCTCTTTTTTTTAAAAAAATAAAACATTAACCAATGATAATTTTTAAACAAGAACAGCACATACCAGTACGAAACATTTGAGACCAGCAATTTTTTTTTAACATTAACCGACAATAATTTGTAACCAGCCCCTATAAATGATGACAGATATTTATAATAGTTATAACCCATAGGATCTGAAAGAGCTCTTTAAGGCTGAGAGCCAAACTTGGGGTGAGGATACACATTTCAAGGCTGTCAAGGCCTGTGCCATAAAGACCTTGTCCCTCCTCATTTGAGCTGGCATGTAGCACACCAATCAAAGACATACAGCACTTCCACCTAGACACAGCATGCCAAGAATATCTCTGTTCCCACCCATTCCTAAGGAAGGAAAAGGCAAAATAGAGTAAGAGATAAGAGGTTGAAGGTCATCTCTGCTGCCTCCATATGAATCTTCCAAAGCAGGACATTCAGCATCTACTGGGTCATCTTTTTTTTTTTTTTTTAATTTCTCTTGTCAGTCTTGCTGGC